AGAGAGAGAGAGAGAGAGAGAGAGAGAAAGAGGGAGAGAAAGGATCGTTTTAAGCGGCTCGATGTAACTCGGAGACACCCTTTCGTTTCGTTTTGAATCCTGTTCTCTCTGCCACAGTGATCGGTCGGGCAACCGAGCGAAACGATCGCACGAGCCTCGCGAGAGAATCTCATCCGAGAGATCAGAAACCTATCATCCCTCGCTCGCGTGGACGATCGTCTACTTCGCGCGTCCACCCGCGGGGGATGTCGTAACTCGCACGACAGAGCGAGCCTCTCAAAGGGCGGGGGATGATGTCGCGATTGCAGCCGCCACAGCACGACTGGCCGAACGGGCCGCCGAGCGAGCGGGCCACCACCAAACCACCCCCTTCTCGAGCGAAACTACCCTCTCTTTGCCTCTCCCTCTCCCTCTCCCTCGACCCCGCCGTTTCGCTCTCGGTTCCGCTCGGTTCCGCCCGGCGTCCCTCCTCCCTTCTCTCTCTATTTCTCTATCTAATAATTCTTTTTCTCTCTCTTTCGGTCTCCCTTTTCTCTTTCCCTCTCCTATAATTCTCTCTGTTTCTCTTCCTGTCTCTGTTTCTCTATTTCTCTCTCTGATCATTTATTTTCTCCTTTCTCTTTTTTCTTCCCTCTCTCTCTCTCTCTCTCTCTCTCTCTCTTCTCTCTTGCTCTGTTGAGCACGCGTTCGCAACTCTCTCTCTCCGTCGCGCAGTGCCGTGTTACGTGCTCGCGATTTTTCGCGTGACTTCTGTTCTTCCGCGAATCTCCGAGTTTCCTAAGCAACTGGAATGAGTAGCTAAGAGAGAAAGAGGTTGTGGTCGGATCTTCAAGTGAAATTTTTCAGGATAAAAAAAGAAGCATACGGGGGTCACCTTTCCGCGACCGCTCTCGAGAGGCGACCATTTTCCACTTTCGCCATCCAGTAGCCGAGAGCCGAGTGAAGAGCATTTCTCGCAGTAGACGTCATTAAGATTTTTCTCTTGCAGTCTCTCTGTCTCTTTCTCTTTTTTTTTGTTGCTTTGAAGTGTCGATATGCGTTGCCTGCGGGGTCGAGAATTTCCCTTGTCTGCCGATGACACTTCCGGTCAGGGAAAAAAATTAAAACGCCAATGAATTTTGACACGACAACATCAAGCATCATCGGTTGTGGCAATTTTTAACAGTTTCACCGGGAAAACTAAAATACAATATTGGAGAAAAATGTAATGTGAGAAAAGTATGATATCGTGGCCTAGAAATAAGAGATAGATGTCCATAAGAAAAGAAAATACTCTTGTCGGCTGTCGAGAAAATCGAGCGTTTACAAATCAAATCCATCACTTGCCTTTCTTGTTACGGAAGAAAATAGAGAGATGCCCGAGATGCAAGACGCTTGTGGACGTAGAAATAAATGTTCAATTGTATTTGTCGTGTTTGTATCTGAAATTTTATGCGCTTTTTCTGCAACGATAGATATAAATTATTCAATATCTTTTGTGTTGAAACCAATTCTTTTTATTATTGCGGATTCTTTCCTGGAATCCTTTTCTCTGTAAAAACGTGAAAATGTATCTATAATTTCTCTATTACATAATTCCAGAAATCTAAATAGATAATAATGAATAATAATAATTATAATTATATAGTACTTAGCTGTAACTAAAGAACTTTTATCAACTAAATATTTTAAAAGTGAGAGAATACAGATATTTAAAAAATGTCTTCAATTAATTTCGAACTTATTTCAGTAGCATTTTAATTTAAACCTTCACACTAGTACATAATATTAAATATGTAAGTAGTGTATCACGTGATAGAGGAAGGAAAAATCTTTTAGCAAACCAAAAGCTGTAAGAGAGAAAGTAAATGAAATCTAAAGTGGCTTTAACTTTAATAGGATCTAAATGTAATCTCCGAGGCTCCAGTCACAATATACCGACAGTCACAATATACGTTAAAAATTAGAATATTACACTCGGAGAGAACAATATAATGCAGTTATGAAAGTAATAACTATACAAATTTTATATTGCAGAATTATTGCACATATAATTAAATAAACTATTTTATGGTTGCACTGTTAAATTCAAAATAAGAAATTAACCCAATTTAAATTATTTTTAATTATTGCTACAACTGTTTTTACTGAATATGTCATTAATTTAACCAAAACAATGGATAGTTAAACAGTTGAACAATTTAACTCAAGAAATTATATTCGATTTAGATTTATTTTTAGTTTATCATTTACTGAATACTGAATATACGTTAATATGAAGGTCGTTCACTTTGAAACTAAGCAAGAAACGGATTAATTGATATTTTGACACAAGAAAGTTGGAAAGTTAAAAATAATAAAGTGTTATTTAATTCAAAGAATTGGATTACCATTACTCCTTGATATCTAATAATAATCTATAAAATCATTTATTTAACTACGCATTAATTCTACATATAAAACTTGTAGAGTTGTCATCATATAATTGTTGATTACTGCCTTTTTCTCTGAGATAATTCTTTATAATTGTAACAGCTATAAAATAATTATTCAATAGTGTACATTAATTCTACACATAAAATTTTGTATAGAATTGTCTTAAAGATGCACAATAGAAGGAATAAGGAATTAGGAATAAGGAATAAGAAATAAAGATTTCAACCTATCATCAGATATCGGATACATCGAAATACACTGTTTCTGATAAATTGGAATCGTTATTCCTTATGCCTAATTCCTTATTTCTTCCATTGTGGTCCCACCATTATACAGGATAATTTTAACATATTTCGTCACCCATCATGAGCATATCTTTTTTTATAAAGTTGATAGTATTTGAGTAAAAAATTATTCAAGACCAATATTTGGCAATTTTTAGTAATTAATATCTCGTTAACTATTGCGTAAACTGCAAAATGGTAGATGACTTTTCGACTCAATTCGATTCACTCTACCTGCTCATGATGGATGACGAAATATGTTAAAATCATCCCTGCATATAGTCACTGTATCTTTTTCTCTGCGATAATTCTTTTTAGTTGCAATACTATAAAATAGTTTATTCAACCGTGTATACATAATTCTCTACACATAAAATGTGCAATTATTATCTTTATATAATTGTTACTATACATGTCTAAATGTCTTTTTCTCTGAGTAGCAATTGCTGTAAAAAGAAAAAAAGAGATTGTTTCTCCAATCGGTCGCGAAGGAATTCTTCCTTTTCTGTAATTAAAATCAAATCGGACATCTGTCGCGGTACGTGTCTCTCCAGGACACTGTCGCGTATAGACACGGAGTTGCGCGGACTTTTCGACATCTCCCTCTGGGGAACGTCGATCGGCGCGGAGGGAAGGTTTCCCGCCATCTACGTCGTCGGATCATCCAAGTGTTTCCAGACGGGAAACGTCATGCCGTTGCTCGACGACGTGCGGCAATGTTGTAGAGATAAGTCATTTTATTGATCCGGCTTAATATCGTGCTCGCGGGCTACCTGCCCGTTACACCGAGTTTCTCTTCTTTCTCGCACTCGGGGGGTGTAGGGACGTCACGTGTCACGACGTATATACGCGGCATATATCCGTGCTATCGCGCGAATATGTGGCACGACGTAACGCAGATAACGAAAATGTCAATAGCAATGGGACGCGATCGACGCGCGATATGCGCTTTCCTCGCACGAGACACTCTCTCTCTCTCTCTCTCTCTCCCCCCCCTCTCCCTCTCCTTTTTCTTTTTCTCTTTTTTGTCTGCTCTTTTCTTTCTCTCCGTTACTTAATTTTTACGCTTGAGAAAATCACAGAATATTTAATAAATAACTTCTTTCTCTCTCTCTCTCTCTCTCTCTCTCTCTCTCTCTCTCTCTCTCTCTCTCTCTTTCTCACTACTTATCTTCTTCCCTCTGGATTTTTCTTTCTCTCTCATGTTTAATTTTTGCGTTGTTATTCAGTTCTTATACTAGACAAGATATATCTCGGAGAGTATTTAATAAATAATATTTCTTTTTTCTTTTTCTGTCTTTTCTTTCTCTCCTTCTCTTTCTCTCTACTTCTCGCTCTCCCCTTTTTTTCTCTTTCGTTGTTTAATTTTTTGTTATTATTTCATACTTAATTTTTACGCTAGATAAGATAATATATCAGAATATTTAATAAATAATATTTCTTTTTTTCTTTCTCTGATTCTCCTTCTCTTCTTTCTCTCTTTTTCTGTGCTTCCTTCCCTTCTCGTTCATTGTTTCTTTCTCTCTCTTGTTGTTTAATTGTTACTTTATTCTTATGCTAGATAGAATATATTTCAAAGCATTTAATAAATGATATTTCTTTTTCTTTCTCTCTTTTTCTCTCTCCATCTTTTTCATACTCTCTTTTTAGCAGGAATATTTCTGGTCAAATATTTGATTGCAAGTACCACTACGTATGCGTTTCCAAGGCTCAATTCATCTCATTCGTTTCGCGTTATCGAATGGAAAGCTCGATTAAAAACTCATTTCGTAAAACGCACAGAGATCGTTCATCGTAGCTTGCACACTCGAGTCGCACGAACGAATGTTACGAGTCAATCTCTCACCATTGGTTCTACATTTTTAATGTTACCGACGGGATTCCCCGTCAAAGATTCGATTAAAATTCTATCGAAATCTTAACTTCTTCAATCGATACTTCAAACTTACGAATGTAAACTCGGTTCTCCTCCATACATCACAGAAGATTGAAGCAATATTGCTGCAATGTTGTAATATTACAGATTGCAATGTAACAGCAGAGGTATTACATAAATATATAAAATGTCATCATAATATGCTTGTAATATCCCACAAACATTGCAAAACTGTAATTCTTTAATTGTTAATAATAATAATAATAATAATATAAAAATAATACGTTTTTACAATATTATGTAGTACAGTCTTTTAATTTAACAATTTTCACGATATAATAATTAATATAATTCATTTTATATTTAAATAAAAAATTTATTGATCTATTATTTGACGCCATT